TAGAGAGAGAGAGAGAGAGAGAGAGAAAGAGAGAGAGAGACAGAGAGAGAGAGATTACATCTATAGGGTAGGTTGGCAGGCTGGAGGCTCAAGGAAGACTTGATGTTGTAGTCTCAAGTCCAAAGGCAGTAAGGAAGTAAAATTCTCTCTTCTTCAGTGGAAGTAAGTCAGTCTTTTCCTATGAAGGCCTACAACCAATTGGAGGAGGCCCATGTACATAATGAAAAGCATATCAAAGTCTCCTGATTTAAATGTTAACCTCATCTAAAAAATAATTCCATAGAAACATGTAGAATAATGTCTGGCCAACTATCTGGGTACTATGTGTGGCCTAGCCAAATTGACACATAAAATTAGCCATCACAGATAAAAAACAACCTAAATCACTCTCTCAACAAATGAATGGATAAACAAAAAGGTGGTACATACATACAATGGATTATTATTCATCCTTAAAAAGGAAGGAAATTCTGGCACATGCTACAACATGGATGAAACTTAAAGATATTTTGCTAAATGAAATATAGCAAAATATATTGCTAAATAATCCAAATATAAAGAACAAACACATAATTCCACTTATGTGAGGTACTAGAATAATCAAATTTATAAAGACGGAAAGTAGACTGATAGTTGCCAGAGGCAGAGGGGGTAGCATTTGGGGAGTTATTGTTTAATGGGTAAGGAGTTTCAGCTTGGAAAGATGAAAACATTCTGGACAGGGATGGTGGTGATGTTTGCACAACAACGTCAATGTACTTAATGCCGTTGAACGCATACTTAAAAATTCTTAAAATAGTAAATCTTATATCGATTTTACCACAATAAAAAAATGAATACACTTTACCATGAGCCAAACAATATGCTAAATGCTATACATGGATTTTCTCATGTAATGTATATTAGTATCCCCATTTTATGGATTATAAAGCCTCCTAGAAAGAGTAACTTGCTCAAGGTCACACTAGTAAGACTCAGATCTGGGATTCAAACTCTCACAGTCTAACTCCAATGCCTGTGTGCTTAGTCACTATGCTACATGGAAAAGAGTGACTACATTAAGGTAATGAGATAAAGAGCAAATTAAAATATTTTTCCAATATTATATTTTTTCGAGACAAGATCGATTGCCCAGGATAGACTGCAGTGGTGTCATCATAGCTCACTGCAGCCTCAATCTCCTGGGCTCAAGCGATCCTCCTGCCTCAGCCTCCCGAGTGACTGGAACTACAGGCATGCAACACCACACCTGCCTAATTTTTGTATTTTTTGTAGAGATGGGGTCTAGAGCTATGTTGCTCAGGCTGGTTTCCAACTCGTGGTCTCAAGTGAACCTCCGTCTTGGCCTCCCAAAGTACTAGTATTACAGGCATGAGCCACTGTGCCCAGCCTCAAATAATATTTTTAAGTTGATTCAATACTTAAAAAATGTAAGAAATTAATTTCCAAAAAAATGTCAAAACAAGACTGGGTATAATTATTAACTGTACACCTAAAATAGCCCTACATCAACCTTCACCATGAGAAGTCCTTATCCCCAGACCACAGCATCTCCAGAAATATGATGAGAAACCAGAATGCCCCAGAAGCAGGAGCAGATTGTTTACCTGGCATCTGCTCCATTTTTCCACAAGTCTTGGGACATTTTATAGTTTCTCTATTTTTAAAAAATAAAAATACTGTGGTCACAAGTTCCTTTTTCCAAGGGAAAACAGCAGCAAGACAGCAACTGACATTTATTGAGTATCTACTAGAAGACCAGGTGGGTTTTGTTCAAACAAATTGAAAAGACAGAGTGCTTGCCTGCAATGAGATCCATCAAATAAGTAAAATGTCTCCTGTGTCCACATGGACCACACCTTATAGACAAAATTTATGTTGATATTCTGGGCCGGGCACAGTGGCTCAGGCCTGTAATCCTAGCAGTCTGGGTGGCCAAGGATTGCTTGAGGTCAGGAGTTCAAGACCAGCCTGAGCAAAAGCAAGACCTGTCTCTGCTAAAAACAGGAAAAAGTAGCCAGGCATGGTGGTGGGCACCTGTAGTCCCAGCTTCTCAGGAGACTGAGGCAGGAGAATCGCTTGAGCCCAGGAGTTTGAGGTTGCTGTGAGCTAGGCTGACGCCGCCACCACAGACAAGAAGAGCAGTCTTGGGTTTATTACCCCTAAAGTAGTGGTTAAGGTTGGTGGTTAAGGCTTGGGCTCTGGAATTAAACTGTCTGGGTCTGCACCTGCCATTTGTTCACTGTGGAATCTTTGGCAAGTTTTGTAACCTGCCTGCGCCTCTGTCTCCTCAACTATTAATATAAAAACAGGACACAAATAGGTACCAACTCCCACATGGTTGCTGCCGAGGATGACACCTACTAAAACATGTAAAGCACTCAGAACGAGGTCTGCCATGTAATTACGTATTCAGAAAATATTAGTCGAAGATGTAGGAAAGAGCCATCTGTGAGTAACAGATTGTTCCAGAGATGCGGGGAGAAGATGAATGATCATCCAAGGGAAAAAGGCCCTTAGCGATCATTTCACAGATGATGGCACAGAGGGCCGTATGGGCTCAAAGTCTTGCCTGAGGTCACACAGGTGGTCAACAGCAGTGCCGGGGCATAGCTCCCTGCCACAGAATAATACCCTCAAGGAAAAGAAAGCAAGAGAACTCCAAACTGACCCTCCACTTAGGTGCACATTACCAGTCTTAACTACTTCAATAATTGTAAATTATAAAGTTATATGTATTAAAATGGGAAGAGCTGATTCTATCAGCAGGATGAGAAAGGGCTACTCTGCACACAGGGTGTGGGGTGGGGTTTGGGAAGGGTTGCAACAATCACATCCATGTCAAAGACTTTAGGGCGTGGCCTGTTAACCAAAAGTAGTCCGGGTAATGGCCCAGAGCACCAGACCACTTAAGCAGAAGTCCAAGGCAGCCCCCAGAGAATTGAGTCCAGGACACAGGGCCCAGACTCACTACCCAACCCTGTCTCCCCACCTGCAGGCCCTGAATGGAGGTTACAGAAGCAGTGAACAGATGGGGAGGGTATGCTGGGCAAGAGGGGAGACTGGACTCCAGAGATGGATTCCAGAAACACCTGTACTGTGTAAGTACGGCCAGTTCAGCTCGCAGTCCCCCCACCAAGCCTCCTTCCTTATCAGGTGACTCATGCAATTCTCTCCTTTTTCTCTGCTTTTCCAACCTTTCCTCCACTAACCCCCCCATGGATTATCCCAATGTCCCAGAGTCCCCAGGATAGCGCCACACTTTCCAGCCACAGTGCCTTTGCCTCTGTTTCCCCTTCCTCCTAAAATGCTGCTGCTGTTCTATAATCCTATCCCTCCCTCCCAAACCAAAACTGTTTGGTAAAATCCTTTCCCAGAAATGCCAACCCTTCCATGAAGCCATGTTCTAATTAGATGGTCTTTTTCCATCTCCTGCACTCCAAGAACCTTCTAGATCTTTCTAAGACATTTCATTAATTCTACCTCACGCCCCCTTCAAGACTCTCTCTTCCTTTACATCCTCACACAGCACCTGGCTAGCAAGTGGTCAGCACTCAATAAATACCAGTTGCTATACCAGAGTCCAGAATGGAAGCTGGGGAATCGCAGGTTCTGCAGGGCAAGCTGGGAAGGAGGGCAATGAAGAGTGAGTACGATAGCAAAGACTTACTGCGTGCCAGAACTATTCTGAGTGTTTCACATATGTTAACTCAGTCCTCAAGACAGCCTTACAGTAGGTGCTATTGTAATTAGCACATTACAGAGGAGGAAACTAAGTTACATAGGAAGAAACTGAGCCACAGATGGGTTGAGTAATTTGCCCAACGTCACACCGTGGGGTTGTGAACTGAACCACTCCAGCTGGCTCTTTATATTGCTACTCTGCAACACTGTTCCTTTTAACCCTGCATCCCTGAAAACCACTTCAGTTATTCCACCTACTGTGTGCATGATCACTCAGAATCAAAAACACACTCTGCAACTTAAAATTATTACACCAAATTCCCACCTCTGCTTTCTGAACCAGAAATTACAGATGAATTCTGGCCAGATTTCCCATGATAGTAAATAGCATATGATGAAAGTCTCAAATCCAAAACATTGCTTAAACAGAGGGAATTATAGATGTTTCAGACAAAATGGGCGTCAGGGCCACTCACTTAGCTCAATATTTTTCATCATCCTATTTCTAAATCCTGAAATATATACCAGAACTATCTGCAGGCACGTACATATAACAATCACTCAAAATTATTTTAATAGAATTAGGGATTTAATAGAATTAGGTTTAGGGAGGAGAGACAAGAGAATGTTAAAAAAAGAATTATGGATTTAATATACAATTGGAAGCCTATAGATACACAATATTGCTGACATATGTTTAATGTGGTTTGTTTGTTTTTTTAATAATCAAAGGAATTTGGGTCTCCCACTATAGATAAGAGAATATAGATAAGACATATATTTGGATTACAACTACATTCAAGTTTAAGTGAAAATTCCAGCAATTACCTGCATCATTAAGGTTTTAAATAATTCATATTAAACATACTAGTAACAGAAGCAAAAGCTGTGTTAATTCTGAATAAGCCAGATAATTTCCTCAATCTTCCATCAAAATAGTTAGGGAATGGGGGATGAGTAAAGATTTTGGCTTTACAAATGTACACAGTGTTCTCACAAAAAGAAAATAGAAAAATAAATTTACCAGTAAAGTCAACTTTGGAGTTAGGAGAGGATTACAACAGGATACCAAGTAAATTTCTGTTCCCAGGGAATTTTAAAACAGCATGCAAAAAAAAAAAAATTAATAGCAAACCAAAATATTAAATGAAATTAAGATGTCAGCAAAGCACAAGAGAAGGAAGCCGAGGGTCTAGTTTGTGGCAGCAAGCGATATTTTTTCTCCCCTTGACGAAGAGAAGGCTGATGAGAACAGCAAAAAGACACAGCACAGAGATCACAGCAAAAGAGATATCCAGCACGTATCCAAAACTTACCCAACTTGATCTGTTTACTCAACACTTTATTTTCCCCACTTTGCCAGCTTAAAATCAAACAGCGGCTGGGCTTTTGTTGTTGCTTTTTCTGTTCTTTTGATCCCAGAGCCCCATGAAAGTTAAACTGTGTGTTGGATGGGATCTGGCCCCGTCTCTCATTAGGGGGAAAAAAAGTTTTGAACTTGGGTCCCTGGTTGCTTGTTTGGGAAAGTGAATAAATAAATGGCTAGCAGGAGAGGACGTGGGGGACGTGCGCAGAGGACGTCTGGCCCGCCAAGGGGCCGCACAGTTTCTTAGCACACACAGCTGTCCAGATGTGCTTCATCTGGTTCCCCCCGGGAGGCACGAGCATTGCCGGCCGCGGCGGGCAGAAGCCCCAGCTCATTGGTGGCCGCGGCTTCTCGCTTGCCACGGATTGGCCAGACGGCCCGCCACTCCCGCGGACTTCGATCCCGCCCCCAGCCGCCGGGCCAGCTCGCTGCATCCTCGAAAGGAACATGGAAGTGCGGCGCCGTCGCTGATGTGGCACTCGGCGGCCGCGGCGGCGGCGGGCCCGGGAGGGGCCCGGGGCCGAGAGGGGAGTTGCTGCACACACAAGTCTTGCCCCTGCTCGGGCCCCTATGATGCCCCTCCGTTTAGGCAGTTTAGGCTGGCTCGTTTTATTGGATTATTCCTGTCCGTTTGGGGGCTGAAATTAAGGCGCGCCCGGCGCTCGCTCAAGCCCACTGCATTTCCGAGTGGAAGAGGCTGGGGCTAGGGGCTGCCCACGCCCCCAGAGGGCGTTCAGGCCGCGCCCTGGAGCTTCACTCTGCCCTCTTTCTCCTGGGAATAAATATTGTAATAAGGTTCAAGTGCTTGCTCCTTGGGGGACAGTGTGCTTTTGTTGGAGGGAAAACCTTAATGAACCCTTCATTGGTGTCCTTATTAGCCAAAAATGTGGTGACTTCTGCCAAGAATCCCAGGGGTGGGTACAGATATGGTTTGGCAGATTTAGTTGGTTTGCGTTTTTTGTTGAGTGATGGTAGTTACAGGAAAAGAAATGTTGCTTTGTTCTGTGAGAATTGAAAAAGGACTATACCAAACAAGGCTTTGATCCTAGAAAAAATGGGTGAAGGGATAGCTGGTTGGCTGATTAGCTGGTTGGGAGGGGAGGAGGGGAGAAGAGATCTGCAAATCAATTGGCATTATGATTTGTGGATTTTTTAAGAAACATGACCTCATTGAAATATTAAAGTGGCAAGAACCACACTCACTGGGCTGCACACCATGGAAAGTGCCAGGCCTGTACTAAACAGCTTTGACCTGCACTATCATATTTAATTCTTACAACCCATTGATAAAATAGATGTTAGAATTATCTCCACTTTCAGATGAGGATATCAAGACCCAGAGCCTAACCCAGCATGCCACAGATGTGTCCAAACATATGTGTGTAGTACTCCATCATGAGCACATAAACTCGCCTGCCATTTGCCACCAGTGTGAGGGTCAGAATTTATTGTGAGTGCCTCTACTTTCTGATGTCCAAAGCTTTCACTACAAAGATGATGTTTGTTGGTGCATTCATTATATATTGCTGTGCAACAGGTTGCCACAAACTTAGTGACGGAATCAACACACACATCGCACAGTTTCTGAGGGTCAGAAGTCCAGGTATGGCTTAACTGGATCCTCTGCTCAGGATGTCACAAGGTATCAGGCTGTGTTCTCATCTGCAGGCTCTACTGCAGGAAAATCTGCATCTATACTTTCTCAGGTCATTGGCAGAATTCATTTCTTTGCAACTATAGGACTAAGCCCTCAGTTTCTTTCTAAAGGTCAGCTAGAGGCTGCCCTTAGCTCCTAAACTAGAGTCTGCTCTCACACTCCTACATTTCCTAAAAGCCAGGAGGTGGAGATCACCGGGAGTCATGTTAGAGTCTCTTTGCCACATTTGAGTATTCAGACAACTCAGTTTCCATGGACCTGGCTGCAATGTTCTCATAACTCCACAAACCCCTGGAAAAATTCAGGGGCCTGTTCGCAAAGTAAAGTAGGACTATGTGAATGGAATCACAACACTGTGAACCCTCTGGTAGTCAAGGAACTCCCAAAAGGAGCATCCTTTGAATGTGGCTCTTGAAAAGTAATCCATGTCAAGTGTTCAGCTTTCTGATGCATTTGTAATATCACAGTGGTGCACTTTTTATCATAGAAGCTATTCAACAATGGGCTAATAGTCAAGATATTGAGAAACCTTCCACACACGTTACTATCAACAAGCATCTGACATTATTGACTATTAGAAAATCTACCAAAAAAAGAGATTCCTTCTGCTTACAGGAAGATGAAGTAGACAAAAGTTTTCCCTTTCTCCTAATAGGTGCAACTAAAACTCCTGTTCTTTATATATTAACTAAGAAAACTCTAAAAAGTTAAAAGAAGAAGGCAGACCAATGAGAAACCTAGGAACTCAAGGAATAACATGATACTGAGTTCCCTAGGTTTTCTTTGTTTTATTGTCCTAGTCTTGGAGGGAAAGAAGCCAATAACCAAAAAATGCTAATAGGCACAGACAAAAGAAAAGGAAGTCTCAACAAAGCCTGCTCTTTCTAGTCAAGAGAAAAGAAAGGAGCAGCCTTTCTTTTCTGGAAGAAAAAAAAGACTGGAAGAAAAAAAACTTCCAGTCAGTAATAGCTCTACTCTAGCCAAACACCACAGAAAAAACTCTGGCCCCGCTCACACTCATGCTCACACCAAAAAAGACCAAGTGGGAATCCCAGATGTCCACACTTTCCAGATTTTCACTATAACAAGGTGAAGATGCAAAATTCCTTAACAAAGTATTAGCAAACAGAATTCAGCAATGCATAAAAATAATTACATACCATGACCAAGTGGGTTTTTTCCCCAGAAATGCAAGGCTTGTTTAATATTCAAAAATCAATCAATGTAATCCATGATATTAACACTCTAGCAAAGAAAAATCACATCAACGTATCAATTGGCATAGAACAAGCACATCACAAAATTTAACACCATAAAAATGCTGAGAAAAATAGGAATAGAGGGGAATTTCCACACTTTGATAAAGAGCACCTACAAAAAACCTATAGCTAACATTATGTTTAATGTGAAAGACTGGATTTTTTCCATACATATTTTGTGATCTATTTATGTAATATCTCTGAAATGACAAAATTATACAAATGGAGAACAGATTAATGGTTGCCAGGGGTTAAGAAGAAGATGGAGCAGAAGGAAAGTGGATGTGGTTGTAAAAGGGCAACTTGAGGAATCCTTGTGGCAATGAAAGTGTTTTCTAGCTTGACTGTATCTGTGGGATGCTCTTGGGATATTGTACTATAATTCAGCAGACTGTTACCATTGAGGGAAACTGGATAATAAGTGCACATGATTTCTCTGTATTATTTCTTACAACTGCATGTGCATCTATAATTAAAGAATAAAAAGTTCAATTAAAAAATTTTCTGACCCTATCACCTCCTTTGAGTCCACACAATTTAGTGAGGCAGTTTGGTCACTAAATGCAACTCTCCCCAGAAAGGGATCATTTCTTCTCAGCCACTTCCTGGGTATGTTCTGGATGAAAGTTGTGGAGGATTATACTGAAGTTTTTTGAAAATTTGGGACTCTGTCCTGACCGTTCTTGGACATGATGTTTCATTCTTTCTCTTAATGTTACAGCACTAGGCTAGCTGTGTTGGCTCACCCTCCAGGTGGCAGCCTGACCACCTGCAATCTCTTGTTGGATTGACATGGTCCTAGATCACAAGGATAATGAACGCTTAAGGGTTGGGTACCGTACTCACCAAGTCCTCCCAAAGTAGCCTGTACCAGCTCAAGGAAGAGGACATAAGGGATTTCTGTAAACTTTATTAAAATGTGTTGTCCCTCTGGCATCTGGCTCTCTGGACAAGGGGCTTGGTGAGTATAGAGGATATTTGGAAGAAAGGTGAGGCTGTAGCTATTGGAATAGACATGCTGATTCTGTAGAAATGAAAAGAAAGCAAAAACACTGGCACCTGAGGAGGGAACACCTTAGACCAGGCATCCTGAAACTATGGCCCGCGGGCCACATGCGGGTGTTTTTGCCCATCTGTTTTTTTACTTCAGAATAAGATATGTGCAGTGTGCATAGGAATTTTTTCATAGTTTTTTTAAACTATAGTCCGGCCTTCCAACAGTCTGAGGGACAGTGAACTGGCCCCCTGTTTTAAAAATTTCAGGACCCATGCCTTAGACTCTAGGATATGTGGAAGAGGGAGGGACATTAGTGATCCTTTGACTTTCAGAACTGCCCTTGGAGCCTGTCCGCCCAAGGAAGACATCTTGATGCCACTCTCCCAAACTTTTGCAAGCACCTTAAATTTAACTGACTGTAGTACTGCCATCCCCTGTCAGATAGCTCTAACCACAGTTTGGGAGCCATTTCCTTAACCTTACCAAGAAGTCTATTAGAAACATCAAAGGACAACCCCAGCTCCAATGCCTCCCCCACAAAATACCTGTCAACACCTGTGAATGGTTTTATCACTCCCACTCTCAGTCACTTGGTGGGGTGAAGAAATGCCACTAGCTGAGTGTCATGGACAAAAAGGACAGATTGGACTGGCTACCTTCAAACAGTATTTCCAAAAACAAGTGCTAACTTCAATTATTCTAACTTAACTGGGAGCCCTCAGACATACCAACTAGCCAGGAGTCCACATTAGAAGTACTGTTATTTGTATCCCTTCCCCAGCCCCCACTGATATAGGTTCCACTAAGAGTTCCAACAATTGTCAGTGACCCTGGTCTTTCTAGGAGAACCATGTGCTTCCCCCCCAAGACTGTACTTCTTGAATGTAAGCCATGCATTAACTTGCCTCCCTTCCCAAAACATAGTGAGTTACATCTTAGGAGTGGTCATAAGAGACTGGCCAGTGTTTGAATAAACATTACTAGTGAATTGTGTAACTCTCAGACAACTGAGGAGATCTCTTTAAAAAATGAGACTACCCTTGGTTACTTGGAGACACTTCTCAGAGGGTAACTTATTACTTATGTTCATCCATCTGGCAGTTTTTTCTACAATGAGGATCATCTAATTAGAAAAGATGGTGCAAAGTTTACACCTTACTTTAAATGATATCATCAATGACACCACTTTGGTCCTCAAAGGCATTCAGTCTCAACTCACTAGCCAGGGTTGTTATAAATAATAGACTTCCTTCTTACAGACCAAGGCAGAATCTGTACCATTACTAATACATCCTGCCAAATCTAAATTAATGCCTTGGGCCAAGTGGAAATGTCAACACAGAAACATAAGGTGAAAGCCACTTGCTTTCAAAGGTAGATTCTGATGGCTTATGGCATTTGTTCAGCTGGTTTAATCCAGGAACCTAGGCAGGGAGGAAGGTGGGTTTGAAGTCAATATTGCAGGACTCCTATTATTAGGAGTCCTGTTGATGGTAGCCTTACTTAAAAGCTGTGTGATACAAATTAAAGAGATTTGATC